AGGTTCGGCCCGCCATTCCCGTCAGTATGGAATTCCTTATGTAGAGCTAATGTCAGTCGAAGCCATAAGAGTTGACTCCTTAAGTCGGACAGTTGGTCGAGTGGGACTATTGAAAGGTACTAGCGGCACACGAACCGTTTGCTAACCGCTGCTTAGTTAGTTAAAGGGGTGTGACAAGCATGCCTGTTAAGCATATCGCTAGCGAACTCGTTGTTCCAGGGGTCAGGGAGTAGTCAAATCTTCCGTAATCTTCGGCCGGAAATAGCCCTCTCTTCTCAACCAAACAGGAAAGTTCTAGGGTCAATAAGACTCGTCCTTTGTCGGAATGGGTATTCACTCTTGAAACAGTCGTAATAGGTCTTTAGCTTTTCCAGCCTTGCTTGTTTGGATCGCTATTCCCTAAGCTCTAGCTTCTAACAGAAGGCGCATAATCAGCATCTGTCTCGGCCTCAACTACGAGAAATAAGTACAAGTGTTTAATGCTTGAAATTACCTCCTGAAGAGGAGAACCGCTAACCCACCGCCCATACCTGCTGACGACAGACGGCAGATCATCTAACGTAAGAAAGATTGGTGATTGAAAAGCCAACTCACCTTATTACCCAAGTCGCTGATACAGCTATACCAAAAGATTGGAACAAGGACTCGAATCAGTTAATTTCTTCCACGAAAGCTAGGGTCAAAAACCTAGCTTCAGCCCACGCAGCTGATAGATTGAAGGAATCGGTTATGAAAGAATGTTGTATCCGTTCGTATCTCAGAACCACATTGTAGTGTGATTCTTCTTCTATTTGCACAGGCAGTCGGGTCCCTAGCGATGTGTTCCACAAGCGAAGGCTTCTTCTTCCTTGCTTCTTTTGAACGGAGAATCTTTCCCTCTCACTTCCTGAGGCTATGTATGCTAGGGCCTGTAATCCGACTCTTACTTAGAAGCAAGTCATCTGTTAGCGCGGGAGAGCATGTAATGCCCTTTTAGAGGTTTCTCTTCGGTATAGCCTTTTCTGGGCGGACTTTCTGAATCGCTTTCTCCATGGAACCTCTACTCTTTCACTTTCAAGGCTCTTTTTCGGCGCTTGAAAGGCGAGCGCATACAAAGGCTCGTGAAAAAGGTCTTAGTCACAATCAAAGGCACTTCACCTACTTCACTTGAACTTTAGGAGCACATTGGGGTACTTACTGGGTAGGAGCCTTTCCTTAGCGGGAGAGTTAGGCCAACTTACTAGAGAAATCGTGTCGAAAGCAAGGGGCATGCATACTTTTCTTCTCTAGAGCCCGTCTCCTTCTGATCCGTAGGAGCTTTTTCTTCGCCCTTGAAAAGGACCTCGCAAGAAATTTCATAGATAGAAATGGTAAAGATTTTTGATCTCTTTTTGTGAGGAACGAAGTGCTCTGGTCGCTCTAGCTATTCCTTCTGTCTCAGGTGTGCCAAATAAGAAGAAAGGGGTGAAGCCATTCGAAGAGGTCTGGCTTTGAATTAGCCAGTGCCGGTTCATCTAGTATTTGATAGCCACTGTACGGATGAAAGATTCTGGGCTTCGATACACTGTTGAATCAGTAGATCCGAACGTTTAGGCAAGACGGGGGTTTCATATTTGTCTGAGGTGCACGGGTTTCAATATCTGATGCGCAGGTTTAGCTCAGTAGCTCAGGCTGACCAATCCAAGGGTTTTTCTGTGAAAAAAATATTAAAAAAAGAAAGATCTGCAAGCTATTGAAAAGTAAAGAAGCCGCCTCTGAAGAACTTTTGAAAGGGTCACAGAAAGAGCTGTCTCCTTAAAGCATGCCTGATAAGGGCGAGGCAAGTGATGTTAAAACACTTTATGGTAGATAGAGCTTTCAAGGATTTCTCTTTATAGTACATCTCAAGCACTAGAGATTGACTTCTCTCTAGAGACCTACACTTATGGAACTAGCAAATGTCAAAGAGCCTATTTCTCTAATCTCACAAAAACGAATGCAATGACCATGTCCCTTACTTTTCGGAACCTCTTGCAAGTGCGTGCAGGGAAGTAGCCTCCGCTTCCAGTTTTACATCAAGGGGAGCAGGTATCACATTAAGTGCCTACCGCGGGAGGCGCTTCGCTTTCCAAGACAAGATTCTCAACTCAATCGGTAAGAAGGTCGCTATATGTACAAGTTCCTGAGGGGCCGGGTGCTCCGCAGCTTCGGAGTTCTTTGAAAGTTCCGAAACCTCCTCCGATCCGATAACAGCTCCAACAGTAGCTTTGGGGCAGGTTTTGGGTTCCAGGTCTTCAACAAGAACCCCGGTAATGAGGGTTGAGAATGATTCTTTTGAGGTCATTTCCTTCCAGGAATTCCTAATCTCATGGCAGGAAACATCCAACTAAACGGATTCATTTTAGAAACACATCTGAGTAACCCTTTTCTTCAACTTCCGCTAGTGGATCTGGGCCCTCTCGAACAAAACTCTTAATCCATTCCATTCCTCAATAAAGTCCGTTTCTTCTTCATTCAACAATCTGAAGGTAAGGGCGAGACT